ACCCCGTCGGGACCGGCCGACCCGAGGTTCCCTCTTGGGCAGGGCGGAACCCGATCGTAGAGGCGTCCGGGTGTATCCATTCTGCGCGTACTGCTGGTCGCCACCGGTGCGCACCCGGTGTTTTCAGCGCCGGGGGTACACCACAGAACAGGGGTCCTCGTGGAGGTGACAGGCTAGTAAAGGGACACGATGGCACAGTTGCAGGGGCTGCGATGACAGTACGCTGTGGTGGAGGTGGGTAGGAGCGACGAGCAGAGAGACCAGGAAAGAGCGGGACGTGGAGGCGCAGGCTCGGTTTACCGTGAGGAGTCCCAGGAAAGTGCACTTTAAGTGGAAGGACCCCGTGGCAGGTCGAGCGACCAGTTTACTCTGACAAGAGAGAAAAAGGAGAGCCTGGGAACAGAGGAAGGTGGGGAGACTTCCAGTCCCGCGTTGAACTACCAGTTACAGAGCCTGACGTCTTGAAGGAGATGGCTAGAGGATGAGATAGAGAACTAGGTGGTGGCAGGTCGCGCAGGGCCTTGTGGGCCACAGTAAGGAGGTTGAGCTTTATTTTTAAGTGTAACAGGAAGCTTTTGTAGAATTCTTATTTTACTTTTTTTATCTAGAGAGATTTTTGGTATGGGGCGTGAGGGCTTGCGGGACAGGGACACACACACACACAGACAAAAAGTGAGAAATCACCCCCCAGCTGTCGCAGGGTTTTAAGCGAGGAAGCGTTGCACCGTGATTTGCAATTTAAAACTATCATTTGGCTATGGGGTGGAAAATGTACAGCAAGAATAGAAATAGGGCTCTCTCTGTCCCAGTGCTCTGGCCCATACCTAGCACCACCACTTGGGAGGCTGGAGGCCACATGGGAGGCCTGGGTCAGGTTCCCAGACCAACCTGAACAGGAAGGGTGCCCCTCACCTGTGATCATAGCTAGCTGGGATACTGGGACAGAGGACAGCAATGCAGGTCTCCCTGTCCTTCGGTCTCTCTCTCTTTGCCTCCCTCTCTTTCTCATAAAGGATAAGAAAGGGAGATCCTTTCAGAGGTTATAGCATTTGTTTGTACTCCCTTCATGGGTTTTGATCTGTGCCACAACTGTAAGAGGCCCGAGAATTCTGGGCTGGGTCCTGATAGACAGGGAGGCCACAGACTTAAGAGCAGTAGGCAGGGGAGGCGGGGCCTGTGCTCTGTGCAAGGCACTTTGTTCTGTGATTTACACGCACTTCGTTTTAGGGTGAGCGGAAATCGTTTAGGCAGTTCTCAGTCCAGTAGGCAGAACTGGGAAGTCAGAAGCACACAAACTGTTCAATGAGTGGTGAGTGCTAAGTGTCATCAGAGAGGGTCAGTCCGTGCTGCCAGGGTCAGAACCATTAGGCAGTGCGGTGCCCTAGCCCTTAGAATCAGGCAGGTCTGGCTGCAGAGCAGGGCTTTGCTAGAGAGGTGTGCACTTGTCAGAGAGAGATGGAGACAGAAGAAGAAAGTGAGGAAAAGAGAAAACTCCCCCCATGGGGAATAGTCATGATAATCCCATCTCCATTTCTCCACCCTGTCAGGTTTTTGAGCACACACATACCCCCCCACACATACACACACACACATGCTTGGCATGTTTCTTAAGCCACTGGGTCTTGAACCACAGGATTGACCAGCCAGCCAAAAATGTGCCTTTATTTAATATACCACTAACAAGAAAAAATGCTGTCAATCTTAATGACAGGCAAGAACTTGCTAAGGGCCCACTGAGCTGTAAGTCTTTACTGGAACTCGGCTTTCTGTTATTTTCATGATCGTGGGATGATAAACATTTAAAGCCATGCAGTGGTGTTGGCTCTGGGTTTAATGTAAAAGTTGGGAATATTAGCTTTGGTTCATTTTCACGTGGTTAATGCTTTTCCTCTTATTTTCTGTTAATATTTTCAGAAGATGAGCTGAATCTTCTGGTTATCATAGTTGATACCAACCCAATTTGGTGGGGAAAGCAAGCATTAAAGGAATCTCAGGTAAGACTGCCTGGGGAGGCCTTTGGAGAATCCCAATTTAACTGAATGTATGTTTATATTGTTCATTCAGGTTGCTGCAACTATCCGTAGTTCGTTTGTTCTTATTCTAAATGGAACATTTTTCAGGGCTGGCCCTGCCCTGGAAGTGGTTAAGGGAACTGGATTCCACATGACCGACTGTGTGGTTTGAATCTTGGCCCCAGGGGCTAGAAGAGCACACTGGGCATTTGTGCATGCCCAAGATCTGAACAGGATAGAAAAACAGAGAAGTGACTGGTGTGACCACGCCCCATGGGGAGATGCTTTCTCCTGTCCTCTCTTGTCTCTCTGTTGGGAGCACACATGCCACCTGGCAATGAAAAAAAAAAAGGGCTGTTTGTTTTTTATTATTGAGTTGTGAGAGCGTTATATATTCTGGATACAAATCCTTTTTCAAATACATGATTTGCAGGTATCTTTTCCCAGTGTAACATTATCTTTTCTCCCAATATAACATTATAAGTGTAAGTTTATCTTTTAGGATTCTTTTCTTTTCTCTCTCTCTCTTTTTTTTTAAGTTTATTTAATTTTATTTATTCATTCATTTATTATTTTAATTTTTTATAGACCACAGATTAGTTTAATTTTAACACCCATCATGCCATGAATTCATAGGGGATAGGTTCCAGCAGCTCCGGCTCCTTTCCATTGGTTCTCACAAAGTGTGCTGCTCTGGGAGGAGCAGGCTGGCACTTCAGTTGAACCCAGGTACCTTTCTCTTTGGCTTCCTTCTTTTTCTGGTCATTTTCCTTCACACATTTTAGGAAGCTATCTCTGCTTTTACAATGCTTAATACACTCAATATGCGCATTAATTCTCTTGGCAAGAATCTTGCCCTTGTTTGTTCACAACAATGCCAACAGCATGCTGGGTGACACTGTAGACTCTTCCAGTTTTGCCATGGTAACATGTGGGGCATTCCTTTTTGAACAGTACCCATTCCCTTAATGTCTTCAATATCACCTTTCTTGTAGATTCACATATGTTGCCAAAGGAACCACTCCATGTTTTCTAAAGGGCCTAGAGAACATATATTGGGTGCCTCTCCTCTTTCCCTTTGTGTTTGTCATGGAAGATGGCGGTTCCGGCCAAAAGGCTTATTCATTTATTTTAATTTGACCAAAGAGAGACACACAGAGAAAGAGACAGAAAGTGAGAAAGCAAGCCACCAGGCCTGGGACTCAAACTGTGGTCGGCCATGTGGAAGTCCACTGTCTTAACCAGCGTATACCTGCCGGCCCCAGGATTCTTTTCTTTAAAAAAAAATGTGCTATAGGGTGTATGAATAAGCTTTGTGAGAGAAGGGACCTTTGGCAAAGTAGTAGGTGCTTGGCAGAGTGAGTGAATGAAAGAATCGAGGACTTACAATCTCCCATATAGTCGGTGTATATTATTTCTCTACTCCCACATATCAGTAGTTTGCCAGTGATTTTATCACAGCCTATGGTATGACATGTTTGTTATTCACTAAACATTGTACAGAAAATATTTGTGAGATATTATGCTGATGTAGAAATGATCTCATACCAGTAAACTTAGAAAACTAGTTCCTGGGGCTGGCAGGTGGCGTGATGGTTAAAGGTGCTGGACTCCCACATGGGTGACTGTGGTTTGAGTCCTGGACCTGGCGGCTTGCTTTCTTGCTTTCCCTTTCTCTTTCTCTCTGGTCAAATTAAAAAGTAATGATAACAAATGGAATTGATAAATGGCTAATTCTTTAGGAAAAAGAAGACTGTAGTTCCTAAGTGATTTTTGCTTATGGCTTTGGAGATGGGGACATCTGAGCAAAAATGTAGCAGTGAATCATTGTCTCAAATTTAAATGATGTCTTCTTCATTGCAAGCCCTAGCATAGGTATTTGGGCAGCTAACTTGTTTTTCTAATATCTCCTGTTTTTTCAACAGTTTACTTTGTCCAAATGCATAGATGCCGTGATGGTGCTGGGGAATTCCCATTTATTCATGAATCGCTCCAACAAACTTGCTGTGATCGCAAGCCACATCCAGGAGAGGTACGGCCGCCGCCATGGCTCCTCCTGTTCGTTGATAAATGCCTGCGAGGTTTTTATGTCCATTGCCATGCACTCTCCTACTCTGTGTTGAAAATACAGTTTTTTTTCTTTCCAGTGAGCACTAGCCATGGCATCTAGAATCAGCAACGTACATTTTGACATGTGCGAATATTAAGTACCTCTTTAGTTACTGTAGTGGAGTCGCACAGTGGTACGTTTAGTTTACACAGATGCACCTTTAATGCATAGGGGAGAAGAGAGAACTGTTAATCGAGCAGGTGCTCCCCTCCCATCTGTCCTCAGGCGTTTGCACAGAGAGCCGGCAGGACGGGCAGTGGTTCTGCATACCTCTCATGCTGTGACTGCTGTGTGTAAGCTGGTGTTTGGAAATAAGGGCTTTTCTTACAACTCTGGCTCCTATACCTAGGGAGATTCTCCATCTGGTGCTCTGCTGGAGAAACAACTTCTCTCTTTTTTTTGGGAGAGGTTTTTGCTATAGGGCACATGTGCTCGCCAGAAAGACAGAGACAGAGAGACAGAAAGTGAGAAATCCCCCCCCCCCCCAGGGGGGATGGCCACGCCGCAATCCCTTCTCCTTCATTCTTCCCTTGGGATCTTGGGCATACACGCACATGTGCCTGGTGTGAGTTTAAGCCACCAGGTTTAGGACTCAACCAGGTTCAGGACTCAACCAGGGTGACTACATGGGAGTTCAGCGACATAGCCATTATGCCAACTACTGGTCCTGAAACAACTTCTCTAACACGAGTGTAAAGACCCACTGCCTTAGATTCACTGCCAGGTAGCTCATGGGTCTGCAGCCGAAGTGAGCTCAGGCCACATGTACGGAAAGATTTCCGTGAGTTTTGACCATGTTTCTTTGTCACGCTGTGCATTGACTAGAATCCAATCTTCATGTAAGATGCGGCTCTCCTGTGTCTTTGTCAGCGTCATATCACAGTAGAAGTGACTTGTTCACCAGCACATGCCACACGAGCTTCCTTGGCTCTCAGGGCTGCTTCCCTTGGCCTCTGCGTGTGCTCCTATTCCCAGCCTCCTTGTGTTTTTCTCAGAATCAGATGAAAAAGTCGATGCTGGTTTAGTTAAGAAACCAGTAGGAAGGGCCAGGAGGCAGTGTGGTTAAAGCATGGCTGACCCTGGTTTAAGTCCCAGACCTGGACGTTTTTTCTTTTTAGATTTTTTTTTTTTTTTTTTGCTATAAGTGAAGTGCACTTGATTGAAACTCAAGCCAGGCACATGTGCATGCATACCCAAAATCCCAGGAGGAGAATGGAGGAAAAGGGATTGCAGCATGGCCATCCCCCCGGGGAGTGATTTCTTGCTTTCTCTCTGTCTCTCCAGTGAGCACACGTGTCCTATAGCAAAAATCTCTCTCTTAAAAAAAAAAAAAGAAAAGATAACTAGTAAAAACTATAACAGGCAAAGTTTTCATTGATAACAAGGAGTGTCCCTTATGTGATTACCTTAGGAGTCATGACAGGCTGGTTCTGTTGCCTGGTGGTTACAGCAGCAGGATCCCACGTGGCTAATAGTGTGGTTTGAGTCCTGGAGCTGGCAGCTTGAGAGACACACCAGCTAGGGGTGTGTGTGTGTGTGCGCGTGCGTGTGTGTGTGCGTGTGTGCGTGCACGCGCTCCAAATCCCAAAGTGCTTTCTCCCCTCCCTCTCATCTGGTGGGTGCACATGCTCTCTAGCAAGAAAAAAAAAGAGTCTTGAAGCAGTAGGAGACTCTTTCCAGGGACCTTTGGGTCTCGTTTTGACTATTGACGTAGATAATATGTAACTTAAATATGAAACGAGTAGAAAGTTCGAATTTGGTACGAGTCTTCTGACTTCATCTGGAAAGCAAAGCTTGGGGTGACCGTAAAGCACCTCAGGAGACTGTAGCCCAGCACCCCTGTATTTGCCCTTTCTCGTTTTTTCCAAAAACACTGAAACATTAAAGCATTCTTTGGTGAATGCTTTACTAGTATATACTAATCTGCCTATTTTATACTATTTTTATTTCTTGCCAGAGGGAGAAAGACAGAGAGGAGAGGAGAAAGAGAAAGAGAGAGGAGGGAAGAAAGCACCCCCGTAGAGGGTGGTCACGCTGCAATCCCATCTCCATTTCTCCTTTTGGGATTTTGGATATGCATGGACACGGCACTCTGCATGTTTTCCACGCCCTTGGGCCAGGACTCAGACTACACAGTTGATTGTGTGGGATCCAGCCATTTGAACCACCATGCCCCCCCCCCTTTTTTTTTTTAAAGATTTTTTTGCTATACAGTGAGTACACTTGCCAGAATGAAAGTGAGAAACCACCCCTCGGGGAGACAGCCATGCTATAATCCCTTCATTTTCCTCTTGGGTGTGAGTTTCAAGCTACTAGGTTCAGCACTCGAACTGCGGTTGGCCATGTGGGAGTCCAATGCCTTAACCACCATGCCACCTGCTGGCCCCATTCCTGTATTCCTGTACGGTTTTTAAACTGAAGCTTACTAATCTTTTATTTTTTCAGTTTGTTATAGGGTGTGTGTGCTTGAGAAAGAGAGGGAGATAAAGTGAGAAAGCACCTCTCGGAGGATGGCCACTCCCTAATCTTTCCTCCATTCTCCTCTTGGGATTTTGAGCATGTGCGCATATGTGCTCAGCGTGATTTCAAACTGCTGGGTCTGGGACTTGAACTGTGTAGTCAGCCATATGAGGGCCTCCTGCGGCCCAGAATCTTTCTTCTCTCTTTTTTTTAGGTTTAATATTCTTTTACGTGAGAGAGTATGTGTGTGTGTATGTGATGGGGAGGGGGATATTCCCAACAGGGTCTTCTCACGCCATGGTCCCCTCTCCCCAGCCTCTAGCTAGTCAGAATCTTGGGTGTGCACACCTGGCATGTTTTAGGTCTCCTCGGGATCTGAAGCCGTGGATGGCCACGCTGGCTGGGTCGCTTGCACCGTGGCAGTGCACTGCCTCCTGCTGAGCTTCCTGGTCAGGAGAGAGCAGGTGCGGTGAGCAGCCGAGTAACCAGGCCATCTCCTCCTGTTTCAGTCGGTTCTTGTATCCTGGAAAGAATGGCAGGCTTGGAGACTTCTTCGGAGACCCTGGAAACCCCGCTTCCGAATTTAATCCCTCAGGGAGTAAAGATGGGAAATACGAGCTGCTGACCGCCGCGAACGACATCATCGCCGAAGAGATTAAGGATCTGATGACCAAGAGTAACAGCTTTTAGTTTTTCTTTTTTACTTGCTATAGGATGTGTGCACTTGCCAGAGAGAGAGGCTTAAAAACCATGTGTGTGTGTATGTGTGTGTGTAGTTGGGTCAGTTGGGAGACCCGCGCCTTAACTGCCACGCTACCTACTGGCCCTTGTTTCTTTTTTGTTAATTTGCCAGAAGGTGTGTGCCTTCGCTTCGTATGTTTTTCAAACATCTGGGGCTGGGGGATTAGAACCATGGTCGGCTATGTGGCTCCCTTTACCAGCAGGCCATGGGACTGGCCCAGAAAACCTTTGATTTTTTAAAAAAGAATTATTTATTTAATTTTATTGATTGTTATTAGGGCACATGTGCTCACCAAAAAGGGAAGGAGGAAAAGTAAGAAAGCAAGTCACCAGGTCTGGGACTCGAACCATGGTTGGCCATGTGGGAATCCAAAGCCTTAATGACTACACCACTTGCTGGCCCTGAAAACATTTTTCTTATTGCGGCAAATATAAATAACAAAATTTATCTACTTGCCAGTCTGTAGAAAATTTTAAAAACAAGTTTAATTTTTTCATTTGAGAGAGGCAGAGACAGGTCCCTTGACAGGGCATTGCCAGTTCCGGCTCCCACCCCAGCCCCTCATCGCCAGCCAGAATCATGAGCATGCACGCCACACTCAGCATGTTTACATGGACCTGGGTCCAACGCTGGGCCTCCCCATGGCTCCAGGGGCACCATACTCCTGCATCAACATAGCTCGGCCAGTTTTTAGTTTTTTTTAAAGTTCATATATAGGGACAAGCAGATAGCGTAATGGTTATGTCACTGAATTCCCATGTAGTCAACTGCTGTTTGAATCCTAGACCCAGCAGCTTAAAACTCAGGCCGGGTGCGTGTGCATGTGTGCCCAAAATTCCAAGAGGAGAATGGAGGGAAAGGGATTACAGTGTGGCTATCCCCCTGGGGTGATTTCTTGTTTTCTGTCTCTGTTTCTCCGGCAAGCGCACATGCCCTATAGCAAAAATCTCTCTTAAAAAAAATAGAGTTTACGTATTTACCATGTGTAAGAGAGGGGGAGATAGCACTCCCAGCAGGGCCTTGAGGCCACGGTACATCCCTGGCCATAGCCGGGCCTCGTGTACTTATGGCGGGCTCTGGACTTGAACCAGGATCTTCCCATGTGCGGTTGCCTTGTAGAATGTTGCTTTTTACCACTGTGCCACCATCTGGCCCCAATTTTGGCATTTAAGGAAAATTTGTTTATTTTTTAATTTGACCAGAGAGAGGGAAAGTGAGTGAGCAAACCGCTAGGTCCAGGACTTGAACTGTGGCCACCCATGTGGGAGTTCAGTGCCTTAACCACTATGCAACTTGCTGACACCTTTGGCAATTTTTTTTAAAAGAATTATTTACTTAATTTTATTTATTATTATTTTAATTTGCTATAGGGCACATGTGTGCAACATGGAGAGGGAGAGAAAGACAGGGAAAGTAAGAAAGCAAGCCCCAAGTCCAGGACTCACACCTGCAGTTGTCCATTTGGGAAGTCTAGTGCCTGAACCACCAGGCCACCTGCTGGCCTGCCCTTTGGCATTTTTAATATAAAGCTTACATAACAGATTTGCCATTTTAACTATGTTCCAGTGTACAGTCAGTAGTGTTATGTTGCTGTGCAGTACTCACCGCTATCCACCTCCAGAATGTTTTCATCATCCCAGAATGAAAGTCTGTACCCTCGGAGCTCTAAATCCTGTTCTTCCTTAACTCCAGCCCCTGAACAACACCACAATATTTTTAATTGAGAAAGGTTAAAAGTTGCTTATTTGATCATTACTGAGAACAACTCGCCATCCATGTTTTCGAACCCAGTTTGAAAATTGTTTGATTTCATTCATATACTTTGAAATGATTTTGGTTTGGAAATGATTGTAGTTCAAGAAAGTACTTAGAAATTTCCTTTTAATTTTTTTTTTTATTTGCAGGTGATATTAAGGGTCAACATACAGAAACTCTGCTGGCTGGATCTCTCGCCAAAGCCCTGTGTTGTATCCTTGGTGTTTGAACTATTCAGAAGAGCCTTCTATAATAACTGTATCTTGTGATGTCTTTTACAATCTTGGCTGTTGGTACTAATTGGGGGTGTTTGGGGGTGTGTGTGTGTGAGTGTTCTTTTTTTTTTTTTTTTTTTTTTTGCAGAGGGTATATGCTCTTTTAGGGAGAGTCAGAAAAAGAAAAAAAAAAAAGAAGAAGAAGGAAAGTTAAAAAAGCACCCCCATGGGGAATGGTCACACCACCGTCCATTCTCTATTTCTCCATCCTGTTGGGATTTGGGACATGCACACACATGTGTCCAGCGCGTTTTTTAAGCTTCCAGGTTCAGGACAGGGTGCGTGGGAGCCAACTGCCTTAACCACCATGCCACTAGCTGGCCTGGGAGGCATGAATATTCTAAAGTAGTGGGCAATAAAATGATTGTTTATCTTGAATTCGAAATGCTTTATTTCGAGAGATTTTTTCGCTATAGGATGCGTGCGCTCACCAGACAGAGAGAGACAGAAAGCGAGAAATCACTCCCCAGGGGGGATGGCCACACTGCAATCTCTTCTCCTCCATTCTCCTCTCGAGATCTTGGGCACGCATGCACACGTGCCTGGCATGAGTTTTAAGTCACTGGGTCCGGGACGCGAACCACGGTCTACTACGTGGGAGTCCAGCGACATAGTCATTACGCTAACTGCTGGTCCCCCGAATTCGAAATGCTTTTAAGATAAGCTGTAAAACCTTGAAATGGAAAGAACAAGAGAACACTCTGGTTTGTCCACTATGTCTGTCCTATAGTGAGTGCTTCTCTGAGGTGCTTCCTGTGTCTCATTTCAGTGAACTGGGGCTTCTTGATTTTCACCTTCCTTCAGCTGGGAATTGTGGTTGACTTCAGAGCATTTCATGACTCTGAGGTTTTGCAAGCGCAGCGTGAGATCTTGGGCACACACGCACACTCGCCCAGCATGAGTTTAAGCCACTGGGTCTGGGACTTGAACCATGGTCGACTACATGGGAGTCCAGCGACATAGCCATTATGCTAACTGCTGGTCCAGAGTGATTTTTTTATTTTTTAAAGAGATTTCTGCTCTAGGTAGTGTGCGCTTGTTGGAGAGACTGGTCACATCACAGTCCCCCTTCCTCCAGCCCTCCATCCCTCAGGGCTCGGGCACTTGCACACATGCCTGGCATGTTTCTGACTGACCCGGCTGGGGGTTTGAGCCATGGTTGCTGGGCAGGACCCAGTTTCTCTTGAGTAGGATGTTATTTCTGTGCCACAGAGCTGGCCCTACTTAGCTAAAATTTGTGATGACTTTTCTGTTTACTGTAGATGTTTATGAAATAGAATAGTGGTTTATATTACTTAACGCTAAGAAATTAAGACATTCATAGGATGAACAAGGAAGTTAAAGGTAGGAGCCTATGTTTTTCTTTTTTCTTATTTTAAAAAAAATATTTTTGCTGGAGGGAGGGTGCACTTGCCAGACAGAAAGAGAAAGTGAGACAGCACCCCTCATGGGGATAGCCATGCAATCTTTCCTCCTCTCTCTCTCTGTCTTTTTGAGATTTTGGGCATGCCCAGGGAGTTCTTCAAGCCATGGGCCTGGGACTCGAACTGTGCAGTTTACATTTTTCTGTGAGAACTATGATCTTCCTTATTTTACTGCTATTTGCTTGGTGGACTGTTTAAGAAATCGATGAGAGGCTGGCACGGTATTGCAAGCCTGTAGTCCCAGCTGGGAGGCCACAGCAGGAAGTCAGGACAGTGACACCCTGCCGTAAAAAGAAAGAAAGAAAGCAGTTAGAAAACCATATGTGTTTAATAAGATTTAGTTGAATTATGATCTGTTTTTATCTCTTCCTAGATAATCAGGAAATGAAATCAAGGATCTTGGTAAGATTTTAAAAATTAATGTTTATATATAACTGTAGACAATTAGAAAACATACCAGATATAATACCCATTGGTAAGTATCTAGCGCTAACTGAACAAGTAATGTGTAGGGACCAGCAGGTGGTGTGATGGTTAAGGCACTGGGCACTCCCACATAGCCAACCATGGTTCAAGTCCTGGACCTGGTGGCTTTCTTTCTTTCTTTCCCTCTCTCTCAATATGTATGTGTCTCTGGTCAAATTAAAAAATAATAATAATAAATGAATAAATAAATAGAAAAAAATCTTTAAAAACAATACAAGCAATGTGTAAAATTAATTATAAAGAAAAACTAAAATTCCAAGTGAAACAAAAGAGTGGAGAGCCTTATTTTTTTTGGGATGTCAAGTTTTCCAAAATCACATGGGAAGTTAATGCAACCTTAGAACGTCAGTGAGGTTTTTTTTTTTTTTTTTTTTTTCTGTTTTTTTTTTTTTTTTTTTTTTGGCGGTTTTTTTTTTTGTTCTGTTTTTGGTAGGGCGGGGAGGTTAAACAAATTTCATTGGTATATGGGGAAGAAGAATAAGTCAAAGAGAATAGTTAGGAGCTTTCTGAAAGGGCTAAGTAGGAAGCTGCTCCAGCAGCCATTAAAACACACTGAGCCACAGGCAGAGTGAGGTGGACGAGCAGAAGTGGAAGGGCCGGAGTCCACAGGTGACCCAGGTCCCCACGGGAGCATTCATGTTTGTGGGAGGGAAATGGACTGCTCAGTAAAAGGTGCTGGCCTGTGGGCCGGCCACGTGGAGAGTACAAAGCCAGATCCCTATCTCTCCTCACTCCTGACTGTGTTCTAGGAAAGATCAAGTGTGGACCAGTAGATGGCATAATGGCTATGTTGCTGGACTCCCAGGTAGTTGACCGTGGTTCTAATCCTGGACCTGGTGGCTTACACTCACTTTGGGCATGTGTGCGTGTGTGCCTAAGATCCTCAGAGGAGACTAGAGGAGAAGGGATTGTGGCGTGACCATCCCCCCCTGGGGGTCATTGCTCGCTTTCTGTCTCTCTGTCTCTCTCTGTTTTTCTGGCAAGTGCATGTGCCCTATAGCAAAAAACCTCTCCTAAAAGAAAAGAAAAGATCAAGGTTTTCAGTGTGAAAACTGCTAGGAGAAAATGTCTATTGGTAAGTTTGAGGAGGTGAGAGCCTTGCTAAGCACAGTGTGAAACCTTAAAAGCTTCGCAACTAAAAACAAAACAAAAAGCTCCCAAAACAAAGATGACAGAAAAAGTATTAGGGAAGGTATTTTCAGTAGAACTGCTTGGTAGAGAATTCATATTTCTAAAATAAAAAGGAGTTCTTGTAAATTAATTTTTAAAAGGGAAGTTCACTGTAGAAAAACAGGTAGCAAATGTGAGCTGTCTGCAGACAAGAACCGCAGAGCACCAGTGTTAGCACTTGGGAGTATAAGCAAGGAATGTCGTCATGGGGTTTTCACTGTTTGCTGTTGCCCAGCACAGGTGAAAAAGCTGGCATTGCCAGAGGTGATGGAAGCTTTGGGGATGGGTTAGTCTATGCCTCTCTGATGAGAGGATAAATTGGTGAAATTTGAGGGGGGCAGCTTGGTTATCCATCGGAATTAAACGTGGTATGCTTTAGTGGTCACCGAATATCTTCAGGGTATAATGAGGGAATTGGGTAAAGGGTGAGGATGATATCCTCAGAGCATTGTTTGAAACTGAGAATTGGAAACTGCTTTAATAGCCCCAACAAGCAAATGGCTAAATAGTGAAATCTAGGAAGTTGGCAAGAAGCATGATATCCATTCTGACTCACTGACATGAGATTCCCCCGTGTACTGTGGACTGAGCTAGCAGGTTGCTGAACAGTAGGTAGAGTGTGTGTGCGTGTCTTGGGTGGGAGTGTCTGTATGAGCCCCTCTGAATGCCTTCTAGAAGGATGTTCAACTGTTAACAAGGGTCATCTCTGGGTGGTAGGATTGGGGGAAATTTTGCTGTTGCTTTATACTTTCAGTGTTGTTTAATAATGGTAAATAGGAAGACAGGCTGGGAGAAGATACTGGCTGTGGTTGGCCCAGTGCTGGGTGACACTGGAGTGTCCTGGCTGCGCCTGGGAGGTAAACACGACTGGAGCCCTGGGCGCGCCTGGAGGTACTAACACAGCTATGGTTTTCAGGTGATCAAGGCTGCGGAAGACAGCGCGCTACAGTACATGAACTTCATGAATGTCATCTTCGCGGCGCAGAAACAGGTGACTGAAGCCTTCCTTCTAAGGAGTGTCTGCTTCACGATGAAGCAGTTTGCTTCGTTTCTGAGTAGCTACTCAGAGAGGTCGTCTGACTGAACAGCCGTAGTAAAGGATTAGGGATACAGGGGCCCTGTTTTGTACTAGCCATTTCTCTAGTGTGGGTCCCGGGCCCTGGAGAATCCCATGGGTTCCAGAACAGCGAGCTCTGAGACGCAGTTGTGCATGTAATTTCAGTTTCAGGGCATCTGGATTTAGCCCTTCCTTGGATCCCAGTGAAAATCCCTGGTTTGATGGTTTGCTGCATAACTTGGCCTCGATTTCGATGTTTCTTTAGTGAAGTGTGAAGATTCAATTTATTTACTTGGCAAATAATTGAAATGTTCAGAGAATTATAACTGCTATATCTTCTTTTCTATGTGTATGAAAAGAAAATGTTCTCAGAACTTCAGTTTAAACATAAAACGCCACCGTAGCCTGGCGTAGCGTTCTCCATTGCAGAGTGGCGAGGCGAGGTAGTGAAGTGTGGGCTTGGAGCCGGGCAGATGGGGTGACACGGCCACCCACGGGGTCTGCGACCACAGCCTGGCCACGTTCTGGGTGCTTGCGCTGCAGAGCGCACGTGGGGTGTGCACACCAAGCCAGCCGTTCCCAAACTGTAGTGGCACGTGGGGGCTCTCGGTATCAGGTAGTCATTACTGGATTGTTCTCTGATGTTCATGTTTTTTCAAATCTTTCTTTCAGAATATTTTGATTGATGCCTGTGTTTTAGATTCTGACTCAGGACTCCTCCAACAGGTATGTTTGAAAAAACTTCTTGGGGACCAGCAGGTGGCGTGGTGGTTAAGACCAACTCCACTGTTTGAATTCTGAATCAGGTGACTTTGAAAAACGTGTTGGGTGGGGAACCAGCAGTTAGCGTAATGGCTATGTCGCTGGACTCCCACGTAGTTGACCGCGGGTCTCGTCCCGGACCTGGTGGCTTAGAACTCACGCCGGGCGCGTGTGCGTGCGTGCCCAAGATCCCGGGAGGAGAATGGAGGAGAAGGGATTGCGGCGTGACCATCCCCCCTGGGGGGTGATTTCTCGCTTTCTGTCTCTCTGTCTCTCTCTCTCTCTGTCTGTCTGGCGAGTGCATGCGCCCTATAGCAAAAACCTCCCAAAAAAAAAAAAAAAAACGTGTTGGGTGCATGAGTGAGCATGCCCAAATCCTGGGAGGAGAATGGAGGAGGAGAAGGGTTGTGGCGTGGTCACCCCCACTTTCCCTCTCTATCTGGTGAGCATATGTGCCATAGGGCAAAAAAACCTTAAAAAAAAATCCTGAATCCCTCATGTCTCCTTCATAGTCACCGCTTAGGTGGGTGATTGCAGGAGCCTGCTCACTGGCTTGTCTCCGCGCTTCCCCTGCTCACCAGGGTTGGTTCTTAGCACAGCATTAGAATGAAGCTTTCCAGATATAAACGCGATCATCTTGGGGGGGAGCTGGAAGTGTTTGCTCCAAACTCTGGGCAGCCATTCCTTTTCCTCCTCCTCTCCTTTGCAGACCTGAGGAATTCTTGGTGAGAATGTCATTCCTTGAAAACACCAAGGAAGTGCAGGTCTAGCAGAGGCCTTTTGTGTCTTGCAGGCCTGTGACATCACAGGAGGTCTGTATTTGAAGGTGCCTCAGATGCCCTCCCTTCTGCAGTACCTCTTGGTAAGGAGACAGCCCGAGCAGGGGCCACCTGGGTTCCCTTGGGAATGAGTGGAGCCAGACAGCTGGGGCTCGTAGCTGGGACAAGGAGCAGATGGGCGACCTGAAGTCTCCAAGTCGAGAAGGAGGCTTCAGGTGGCCTTTGAACTCTGGCTGGATGAGAATGTTGTATGGCCGCCATATAGTGCCGGTATGTGTAGGTGCTTAATTGTTGAATGAACAAAAACACATTTCTTTAGAGACTTTGAGGGACAGTCCTATAGGTATTCTCCCTACTGTTAACTGATACTGTGGCCTGACTTCTTGTTACTTTTCCCACGAGTTCCTTGCCTTATTTTTACTTTTTTTTTTTCCAGTGGGTTTTTCTCCCCGATCAAGACCAGAGGTCTCAGCTGACCCTCCCACCCCCGATCCATGTTGACTACAGGGCTGCGTGTTTCTGCCATCGAAACCTCATCGAAATCGGCTATGTGTGTTCTGTGTGTTTGTCGAGTAAGTTCATGTACCTGGTTTTTCTAAGTTGGGGGGACAGAAAAACACCCCAACCGTGTGGTTTTTAAATGATCCTTTTCTTTCTTTTTAAATTTACAGTATTCTGTAATTTCAGCCCTATCTGCACCACATGCGAGTAAGTATTTTGAAGGCTGTGTGCGTGGCTCAGACCGCAGAGGCTTTGAGCAGTAACGAGTGTCTTCTTCTCCGTGTCATTTCAGGACAGCCTTTAAGATTTCCCTGCCTCCCGTGTTGAAGGCCAAGAAAAAGAAACAGAAAGTGTCTGCATGATTATAAAACGTTATCCCTGTCTTGTAGAGCTATTAATAGAAATTATATGGCAGAATATTTGTGGGGAAGGTTCTGAAAAAAATGGGATAGCTCTTAATATCATGAATTTCTTACAGAAAATATTACCAAAACATCATTCGAGGGGTACTTCTGGGAGGCTGATGTGTTTTGAGGGTGTCATCCCATGCAATATATTCTCAAGTCTTTTCTGACTGGTCTTTGTCCAGAGAGGGGGGAGAAAGCACACATTTTGTGAGGTTGATTTTTTTTTTTTGAATGTGAGGATGATTTGTGGAAAGCCAGCGCATCATGACTGATCTTGAGCTTTGAACTTAGTTGCCAAGCCAGGTCCTTCCAGTGGGATTAAGACCTGAATGGGAGACTGAACCCAGCTTTGGGAAGAGTGGCTGTTATGCAGTAATGGCATCTCGAGGTAGAATGGGCCCGGGCACGGTCACGCTTGCTGACTGCTGCTGCTGAGCAGACTGTGGCCACAGGGCCTGGGTGTGGGTCCCTGCCCACCTTAAAAGCGAGATACGGTGTCACAACCTAGCGAGACTCTGCCTTGAAAAAAAAAAGGTAGAACTTACCGGAATCAATAGTTAACTTTGACATCAGTCATAAAAATAAAATGTTGTTTGAGTTTAGCATCAGAGCCCAGCAGTTATTTATTTTGTCTGATGCTAGTACATGTTTGGACAGAGTTAAATGAGTAAAACCAACAGTTTGTCACCGAGTAACTACAAAATCTGACGTTAAATCAGTACAGGGGCAGTAGTTTGCTCCCAGTGGTTCTTCGTAAGCGGTTGTGTGACGAGCTTATTCGTGAAAGCTACTGTCTGGGTATCGAGGGGGAATTTATTGGGGAAGATGGACTTTGTGTTACATTGTCCCAGATGGGATTCTTTCCATTTTCAGTGGGTGAAAAACATATTAGTACTGGACAACTGCCCTCTAGAAACTTCGCACTGAAAACTTGAGTTCAGAAGAAAAAGTCTTTGTAATTTCAACTCAGTGGCAAAATGAATTTTTCTATGCAACCTTGAGATTATTAAAAGGACTTTAAGTTCCAATATGGTGTAGGGAGGGTCTAAGTGATGGTGCCAGTTCTGTGTGTTTTAAAAAATAAACGGCCAGAAATCCATTTGTGTATAAAACCTCGTATGTAAATAAGATTTCGATTTTCTCTTTACACCAGCTCAGAGGCTGAGATTACTTAGGTACTTTGCCTTTTGGCTAGGTCATTTCAGGTAGACTTTGTATTCTGGATGTGCAGTTTGGTTAACAAATACACAAATATTTTGGTGACCCCTTTGAAGATATTTGTTGATCCTTGAGTTTGTGAATTTGTGTCTGTCTTTTAAAAATAATGTTTAGTATTTCATAGTATTGACAAATGATAACATTTCATAATGTAATAGAAGTCACCATTTAAGTCTAGGAAATAAGGCGTCATATATTTAAAGATAAATCATTTCAAATAAGCTAATAAGTTTTTTGTTACTAGCTTTTCATTTGAAATGTTGTATACACTTGCTTACTTAGTTCTGTGTAAATTTTATTTTTAATGGTTGTGTTTATGATTATTTTATATAAATTCTTATAATAAAGTAACTTAAATTTTAATGTTTGGTTGATTTCTTTCCTCTTACTCATTATTTATCTTATGCTCATTCACAGTTTTCAAATGTATACTGAATTTTGTCAATTTTTTTCTAATTTTTAATTTTTTATTATCATTATTATTTTTAAAATTTGTTATAGGGCATGTGCACTCAGCAAGTGAGAGAGAGAGAGAAAGCCACCAAGTCTGGGACTCGAACTGCAGGTAGCCATGTGAGAATCTAGTGCTTTAACCACTATGCCACCTGCTGGGCCAGACAATTCTTTATTCTATTTTGAAGGACTTTAATGTTAAATCTTACCAAAATCTTATGTGAAAATATTGTTACAAATTCTATGTAATAATAGGTTAGATAAAGGATTAATATAAGATTTCTAGGCATGAAAAATATTTGAAGAGATTAGATATGTATTTATATTTTAGGATGGGAACAGTGTAGCAAAATTTCAATTATTTGGCTTTTTTTCTTTTTTAGTTTGTTATAGGGTGTGTGTTCCTGCTGGGGGCAGAGAGAGGAAGAAAGTGAGAAATCACCCTGCTGGCAGGATGGCCATGCTGCAATCACATCTCTGTTCTCTTGAGATTTTGAGCATGAGGTTTCCAAGCCACCAGGTCTGAAACGTGAACGGCACAGTCAGCCAGGCAGATCCAGCGGCCTTAACCACCACGTCACCTCCTGGGTCCACACTATCCTTTCCATAATGAGAAACTAAGCTTAGGTCAATGGACTTGTCAGTAACAAAAGCTTCAGAATATGTGTTGGAGGAAGATGAAATCCCAAATCCCAAATCAGTTTGACCTCAGAACAGCACCAGATAGCATAAAAATGCCTGAAATGCTTTGAGTCTGTTGATATGATAAAAAAACGGGGCCAAGAGGTGGCATGGAGGGTGAAGCAGCTGGATTCCACTCGGCTGACTGAGAGGTCCTGGTGTCTTGGAAGTCACATCAGGTGTGCCCAAAATCCTGAGAGGAGAATGGATTGTTGTCTGGGTCCGCCCTGGGTGGGAGGTGATTTCTCGCTTTCCCTTTCTCTTGCTCTGTCTCTCCAGTGAGCACACGCATCTATTGTAAAAACGAAAGAAAACCCCATTTTTCCCCAGGCAGAAGTCACACTTTCGCATTTGTTCTGTTGCTAGGGAAAATTCCTGTAGTCTTTGGATCTTCTTTCAGAGTGCTGGGAGCTCTGTGAGCGTAGACAACCCTTCCAAAACTAGAATGATAAAAACGATTCTGCAGCAACATGCTGCATGCAGCCTCATCCTGTTTTCGTCCCTCCTCCCCAAATCGCCATAAAAATCGAGATTTTAAGGAGCAAGCCCTAGCCTTTATGTTGGGAGCCAGTGCCGCGAGGCTCGCTCCTGCAGTGGCTGCATTAGCCGCAGGTGGGGATGAAAGCTCCAGTTTGTGAACGGGACTCCAGTTTCTTCCTACTGTCTGAACACGGTAAAGCTGCAAATGAGCGAGCAGCCCTGTGGGCGGGGCCAGGCTGTCGGTGAGAGAGAGAGAGACAGAGATCACCCCGGGGGACACCCCCGCGCCAGGGTCCACGCTCGGCTCTCCAGCCGCGGCTCTCCAGCGGCGTAGACGGCGGTGGGCCCCCGAGTCCGGCTGCTTTGCCCTCCGCTCCGGGGCTGGGGGCGGGCCCTTCTCTTCTTGCCCAATCACGGCGCGCCCTCCTCTGGCCGGCGGCCGATTGGTGGTTGCCATAGCTCCAGGCGCTCGCTTGACAAGATGGCGGCGGCCGGGCGGCGGCCTCCTGGCGGCCCCGCGCTTCCAGGCTTCTGAGGCGGGCCTGCGGGGGCCGGGCCGCGGGGACCGGCGACCCTGGGCGGGCCTGGGCCTCCGGGGTGACCGCGGCCTGTCTCCTTCCTTCCCGCCCAGTTTTCATCCCTGCTTTCATCCGGATGTCCGGCCCCGCGGTCAGCGCGCTCCTGGTGGGAGGCACCGAGGACGTGACCGTGTCCCTGGCCCTGGTGCAGGACAAGGAGGGTGAGGAGTCGGCCCTACCCGTGTGGCGTGGGGGACCGGCTGGGCCGCCTGGCAGCGTCCTCGCGGCCCCTGCTGTCCACCCAGGGTCCCGGCGCGAAGGGTGGGGGGTGTAGACCAAAGCGCCCCCACGGACAAGCCTGGCTCGCGTTCGCTGAGAACACCTCCACGTGCGGCACCCCGCTTTACCTCCCTTCCCAAGAGCAGTACTCAGCTTTTCATCCCGTGTGACAAGTGATGAATGGCGCTCCGGCCTCAGAATGCAGCCCTTAGCTGGTCAGCGCCGCCTCGCATCTAACCCTCCCTCCCTAGGAGTGCTGCCAGTTCCGACTTGTGGCTCGCTGGGCAACGAGACGGGAGACTGGAGTGTGACCGCCACCCCCCACTTGGTAAGGCCAGCAGTGGAGGCCCAGGTCCTCCATCTCTGCAGTGCTCTCTTGATTTGACAAGGTCTTCCTTTCTTCTCTTTCCTTTTTTTTTTTTTTTTTAAGAATTATTTTATTTATAATTATTTTTTCACATGAGTTTTGCCAGAGAAATAGAGAGAAAGCAAGCCACCAGGTCCAGGACTCGAACTGTAGTTGGCCGTATGGGAATTCCAGTGCCTCAACCACCATGCCACCTGCTGGCCCCTCTTTCCTTTTTTTTTTTTTTTTAAATTTTAATTTTTTATTTTGCCAGAGGGCACATGTGCATGTTGGAAAGAGACAGAGAGAGAGAGAAAGTGAGAAAGCACCTCCCATGGGGCATGATCATGCTGCAATCTTCCCTTCTGTTTCTCCTCTTCTTGGGATTTTGGGCATGCACACACACAAACCTGGCATGTTTTTCAAGCATCCTGATCTGGGACTTGAACCGCACTGTTGATCATGTGGAATTCAGCTGCCTTAACCACCACACCACCAGCTGGCCCCAGGTATAGCTTTCTTTATGCTCAGAATTAGCATACGATTCTAGGCTATCAGACCTGGTAGAAGACAGGTGATCTAGCCCAGTGGTTCTCACCCCAGGGTCAGAGGTCCTTGGGTGTGTTCCAAAGGTCTGTAAAACTGTGTGAAAAATTCTGTGCGTATGCGTTTTCCTGAGAGGTTCACCAGACTTTATCAGATTATCACATGAGTCTGTGACGCAAACTCATCATCACCAATCCTGCCCAACTCTGAGCTTGTGCGTAAGGACACTCAAGGCTTCTCCTTACGTATATGGACACTCACAGCTTCCCTGTGGGGCTGGTTCTGTGGTACAGTGGTGTGCTGCCCAGGAGAAGGGGGGCGCCACACGGCAACTGTGCCTCACATCCCTGCCGAGTCAGCCTGAGACACGGGCGGCATGCTCGGATGCCCAGGAGCCAGCAGCTGGAAGACTAGGGATCACAGCACGACCAGACCATGTAGAAGGCTCTGCTCTCTGGATCTGTCTCGCACGCATGCAATTGCAGTATCAAGAGAAAAGATGGGTGGCCCTTGGCCTTGTGGTTAAAGGAGTTGGATCCCACATGGCAGACTGCAGCAGTTCGAATCTGGCCCCAGGAGCTTGAAAAACACACTGGGTGCATGTGTGTGCATGTCCAAAATCCCCAGGGATGGAGGAGAAGGGATTGCAGTGTGATCCCACCCTGGCGAGGGGTGCTTTCTCCCACTCCCTCTTTTCATCTCTGCTGACTGCAAGTGCCCTATGGTAAAATTACATAAAGATAAAAGAATAAAGATAAAAGATCAAAACAAAAATTTTCTTTCTTTTTTTTTTTTATAGAGGTTTTTGCTATAGGACATGTGCGCTCGCCAGACAGAGAGAGACAGAGAGACAGAGAGCGAGAAATCCCCCCCCCCAGGGGGGATGGCCACGCCGCAATCCCTTCTCTTCCGTTCTCCTCTTGGGATCTTGGGCACACATGCACACATGCCCGGTGTGAGTCTAAGCCACCGGGTCCAGGACTCGAACTGCGGTCGACTATGTGGGAGTCCAGCGACATAGCCATTTTGGTCCCCCAAAATGTTCTTTTAATAGGTGTTGACTGTTGCCTAGTATGTGCAAGGCATCAGCTCAAGGTAAAGGATGAGAAAAGTGAACTCTGCTTACACTCCAGGAATGAGCGGTGACCGTCCAGTGTCATTCTCAGACTGAACTGGGGATTGGTTTCTGTGTATTTGATCTTCCACTGGCAGGAGGGTAGTGATGGAAACGGTACTAAACAAGCCCAGTTCATTTATTAGAGCTGTGGTTAGCTTTCTCTAAATTTCCTTAAGTTGTTAGCTTTTATGCTAAACTAGATTGGGAGTCAGGGCTGTGGATTATTACCATAGGTTTATGGGGCTGAGTTGGAGAGAATTTCTGTCATCTTTGTATGAAAGTACTTCAGAAGGCTCATGGAAAAACGGAATGAAAATACAAGTTTATTTTGGTGCAAAATTGTTTTCAAATTTATACATAATTTTTTTCATGGTATCCATGAACTTTTTGATACAGTTCAGATATAGTTGTTTTGCGAAATGGGAAGAGTCTGATAGGTGCTTTTTAAATTTTTAATTAAAAAAATTTTAAAAAAGTGTTTAGGATGTGTGCACTCATTGGAGAGAGGCATTGAGAGGGAAAATGAGAAATCTCCCCCTGGGAGGAGGGCCATGCTGTAATCCCTTCTTCATTCCTGTCCTAGGATTATTAATTTACTTTTTTTTAGAGAGAGATTTTTGCGATAGGGTGTGCGTGCTTGCTGGATAAAGAGACAAATGGAAAGTGAGAGATCACCTCCCGGGGAGAGAGCCGAGCCGCAGCCCCTTCTCCAGGCTCCTCTAGAGAGCTTGGACATACACATGCACCCCGTGTCCATTATTTTTCTTCCTTTTTTTTTTTTTTTCAAGAGAGATTTTTGCTACAGGGCCTGTGTGCTCGATGACAGAGAAACAGAAAGCGAGAAATCCTCCCCCGGGGGGTGGGAGGAGGGCCACACCTCAATCCTCATTCTTCCATTCTCCTCTTGGGATTTTGGGCATGTACGCACACGCATCCAGCATGTTTTAAGCCACTGGGTTTGGGACTCGAACTGCGGTCAACTACATGGGAGTCCAGTGACATAGCCATTATGCCATCCTTTGGTCCCCCAGCATGAGCTTTAAGCCACCAGGTCCAGAACTCAAACCATGGTCAACTCTGTGGGAGTCCAGTGATGTAACCATTACTCCATTTGCTGGTCCCTTGTCCTAGGATTTTGGGCACACCCACATTCCACCCCTAAAGATTTTTAAGCCACCAGATCCGGGACTTGAACCTTGTGGGAATCTCACACTTTAACCGCCATGCCCAACCTGCTGGCCCCAGAAGTGTACTTTTATTGTGTTTGCCATAGTGTGTTTTTACAGTTTGAATCACACTAAAAGCACAGCGGTATTTTCTTTTCAGAACGTGCTGGAAGTGACAGTAAGGTCGAAGCATGGTCTGCAGTGGTGTTCCTCTAATGCGACAGATTCCTTCCCAGAGTCTCCGTGTGTCGTCCAAACTCTGCTGGTTTCAGCATCTCACAATTCATCCTGTTTAGCTCATCTACTCATTCAAGTGGAAATTTATGCTAACTCCTCTCTGACCCACAATGCATCAGGCAAGTGGTCTTTGACGGCGAAGAATGCCCGCCAGATGTTACCTATTTGATTGTAAGTCTGTGCCATGCAGTTTGTGTGCTCAGTTCACTATCGAGAAGCTTGTATCTCTTTTCTCAGTTGTCTTCTTTTTTTCTTTTTTTTCTTTTGCTAGAGGGCACATGTGCTCACTGGAGAGAGACAGAGAGAGAGAAAGTGAGAAAGCACCCCTCATGGGGAACGGGCACACCACAGTCCCTTTTCCTCCATTGCTCCCTCTCTTCTTTTTTTTTTTTTTTTTTTGAGAGATTTTCACTATAGGGCGCGTGCGCTCGCCAGACAGACAGAGAGAGACATAGAGACAGAAAGCAAGAAATCACCCCCCAGGGGGATGGTCACGCCGCAATCCCTTCTCCTCCATTCTCCTCTCGGGATCTTGGGCACGCACACACACGCGCCTGGCATGAGTTTTAAGCCACTGGGTCCGGGACACGAACCGCGGTCGACTACGTGGGAATCCAGCGACATAGCCATTACGCTAACTGCTGGTTCCCGCTCCCTCTCTTCTGGGTTTTGGACATGTGGCCGCACACGCCTGGAGTGTCTCCCACACTGCAGGGTCCAAGACTCCACCGCAGTCAGCTCTGGGATCCAGCTGCCTTCACTGCCGCCCACCGGCCAGCTCCTCAGTGTTCTTACTTTAGAAGTTTTCCTTTTGTACTATCTTATTTAATCAAGCTATATTTTATTGTTGTAAGTTGCCTTAAATCCTTTTTGGGGAGAAGGTGAAAATTGTTTCTCTGGTTATGAGTCTCTTGATTATAGCTTTAAGGGGGAAAAAGATAGGAAGAGAAACACTCTTGAATAAGTCTCTTGAAATACGGCAGCTTTTCCTGGGAAGCGTTTGACCTCCAGCTCTCCACTAGGAGTCTGCCTGCTAACTTTGGCTGCTTTGCAAATGCACACGTACACAATGATAGCACAATTCAGTCAGTCCTGTACCTTTTTAGAAACAGTAGGACATACGATCATTCCATGTGAACAGGTCTGCATCATTTCTTTTAAGAGGTTCTGGCCTCAGGGCGCATGCATTTGCCAGAGAAGAGAGACGATGAGACGGAGAGTGAGAAATCATCTCCTGGGAGGATGGCCAGTCCACAATCCCCTTTCCTCCATTCTCCTCCCAGGATATTGGGCACTCATGCACACGTGCCTGGTGTGATTTTCGGTCAGCCATGTGGGAGGCCAGTGCCCTAACTACTACACTATCTACTGGACCCACCTCCTTTTATTTTTTTTTTCCTTTTTTTGGAGAGATTTTTGCTATAGGGCGCATGCGCTCGCCAGAAAGACAGAGTGACAGAGACAGAAAGCGAGAAATCACCCCCCAGGGGAATGGCCACACCGTGATTCCTTCTCCTTTATTCTCCTCTCGGGATCTTGGGCATGCACACATACGCGCCTGGCGTGAGTTTAAGCTGCTGGCTTCAGGACTTGAACAGCAGTCAACTACGTGGGAGTCCAGCGACATAGCCATTACGCCAGCTGGTCCCGATCCACCTCCTTTTTAATAGCCGCATGGTAATCGTGTAGATACACTGTTGTTTATTTAACCAATCACTTACGGTGGGATTTCTAGCTTTGCCACTGCAGTGCTATAGCAGAATACTATACATGTGGGTGTGCATCTTTGTTGTTTTTTTCAGTTTTTTTGCCATTGTGCATTTCAGCTCACTGGAGAGACTCAGATGCAAAGAAGGAAAGTGAGAACTCACCCCCAAGCGGGGATGGCCATGCTGCAGTCCTTTCTCCATTCTCTTCTTGTGATTTTGGGTATGCACGCATGTGTGCCTGGTGTTATTTTCAAGCTACTGGGTCCAGGACTTGAACTGTGGTCGACCATGTTCAGCACCTTAACCTTAAGTTACACCACCTGCTGGCCTCGTGAATCTTTGTTTTCATTTTTAATTATAAGAGAAAGAGATGGAGAGGGACCAGCAGATGGTGTAATGGTTATGTCGTTGGACTCCCATGTAGTTGACTGCCGTTCAAGTCCTGGATCTGGTGACTTAAAACTCACACTAGGTGCGTGTGCATGCATGCCCAAAATCCTGAGAGGTGACTGGAGAGAAGGGGGGGTGATTTCTGGAGGATGAATTCTCGCTTTCTGTCTCTGTCTTTCTCTGTCTCTCTGGCAAATGCACAGGCCCTATATCAAAAATCTCTTTAATAAAAAAGAAAGAGGTGGAGAGAGAGAGAAAGCACCCCCCCCAACTTACCCATGGGGTATGGTTGTGCTGCAATTCCTTTTCCTCCATTTCCCTATCCTGTTGGGATTTCAGTCACTTACACCTGCACCTGCCATGTTTCAAGCCACCAGGGCTGGGATTTGAACTGTATGTCTAAGAAGCTAAGAGTGCCCCTGGGATAGGGACTGGCACAGGGACAAAAAAAGGCCGAGTGAGGCGTCCCCCTCATTCACATCCTTCAGTGATTTTAGGACCACGTGAATGTATTCTCTACCTAACCGTATCACACGCTTTTGAAGAAAGAAAAATATTTCAGAAGAAAACAGTGTTTTCTACTGCTTGAAGTTAGAAACAAACCAAAGAATATTATTCACTGGATGCTTTTAAAAAAGTGCGGGGGGGAGGGCCAGCAGGTGGCACAGTGGTTGAGGCATTAAACTCCCACATGGCCAACTGCGGTTCAAGTCCTGGGCCTGGTGACTCACTTTCTCTCTGGTGAGCATATCTACCCTATAGCACATTAAAAATATTGAATTAAATTAAATAATTAGAGAAAAAGTTTTTAAAAAGTACAGTGGGATTAATGGTAGCTATGCCATTCAGAGCATTGACTTTTTTTCCTTTGAAAATTATACTTGAGTATATTTGGTTAATATTTTGCAATGTTCTTATATACATAGCCACATTTAGGAAATTTAGACTCTTTGTATATTGCTAATTATGAGATGTCCACTCTGACCCTCTAAGGTACGAAAAATGTGGCACCCATTGAGCCAGAGATCAAAACCAGAGAAGGGATGGAAGGACAGACGGGAGGTATGTGGGTTTCCTAGTACAGTGAAGCTAGCAAATGCCTGAGGAAGCACGTGGGCGGGCGCGCGGGTCTGTCCACATGCCGCATGGCACAGACCTACTCTGGGACGCCTCGTTCGTGTCACTCGGGTGTGGTTATCCCGAGGGTCAGACCCTGAGCACATCACGCGGTCAGTTCTGTAAACTGGTCCCCTTTTCCCAAACACCACCTGCTAGGGTTCTGCCATGTCACCATCTAGACTCTGTTGTTTGTAATTCTTTAGATGCTTTGCCCATCACGTCGGGAAGGTGAACTTCAGTGGGGTTTAAACAGTCACCAAATAGTAAAACTTCAGCGGGCTGAAACTTGGATCCGCTAAGTAATTGGAGAGGAAGCAGAGGCATTCCCGCCCCTAGGTCCCGAGTTTGGGGGCCTCCTGTCCGTCCCTGCCGATGGGGGTGGGGTGGTGCTTTTCAAACCACTGCTAAAATTCACACTCGTTGCTAGTTTAAAAAGCCATGTTCACACAGCGAGTCTTGAACACCTCTAAGTGAAGAAGCCGGTCACGGGGACTGAAGACTACCCCTTGGCGGCTGCCCTTCATCTGAAATGGCCAGGACCTAGCAATTGTTGAGTTAGGAAGGGGGTTAGTGGTTGCAGGGCCTGGGATGGAGGTGCAGGGGAATGGCAGCTTGAAGGATTCAGGGTCTCCCTGAGGTAATGGCAGTGTTGTGAAATCCGGCGGGCCCCTGTGAATGCAGCGACCCGGGGAGATCTGTGTGCTCACGAATGGACTGTGCGGTGCATGAGTTCTGGCTCAGGGCAGCCGCTAACATGCCCGGAGCCCGGTCTAACGCAGCTTAGCTCCCGTCATGTGCCAGCAGCTTGCATGTGGGTTTCAAAGGGGACATGACAGAAGAGGCCCCATCCATTGAAACTCTTGCAGCTTAAAAAGTAAACAGGGGGAACCAGCAGTTAGCGTAATGGCTATGTCGCTGGACTCCCACGTAGTCAACCGCGGTTCGTGTCCCGGACCCGGTGGCTTAAAACTCACGCCGGGTGCGTGTGCATGCGTGCCCAAGATCCCGAGAGGAGAATGGAGGAGAAGGGATTGCGGTGTGACCATCCCCCCTGGGGGGTGATTTCTCGCTTTCTGTCTCTATGTCTCTCTCTGTCTGTCTGGCGAGCTCACGCGCCCTGCAGTGAAAATCTCTCCAAAAAAAAAAAATAAATAAACGGGCACAGTGAGAGTGAGAAGGAGTGCGTGAAGGGTGGGCTTGATCTAGCCGGGGAGGTTGAGTCAGGCCTTTTTGGGGGGATGACATTTCAGTCGAGGAGTTGAGGGAGACAGTGGAGGGGGCTTCCCAGAGGAGGGACCCGGAGGTGGGTGTGCAAGGCACCTGGGGAGCCAGAGAGCAAGGTGGGGTCCCCAGACCAGAGAAGCTAGGGCAGAACCTGGCACCATGAGCTGTGTACTTTAGGAAAAGACTGCCGTAGTTCACCTTGCATCGTTTAGAAAGGTCTCTCTGCTGGAGTGTGCGGAGGGGCTGGAGCCACTGAAGAGGGGGTGCCCTGGCTTTGTAGCAGGCAGGTGCTTCGAATCGGCCTCAGAGAGCTGATTGATTGCAAGCTAAAATTCCTCAGGGTTCTCCTTACGCTTAGTTTCCCCACGCCTCAAACAGACTCATGTGAAGATTCAGACAGTGTAATAGGGACTTGCGCATGTGTGGCATAATGAAATGTGACCTTGGGACTGGATGGATTCCGGATAAGGTGTCTCAGATGTCACCTTGGCTCATTTCTGTTTGCCAGAGGGAGTGGATTTGAAGGGTGAGTGCTCACTCTCAGTCTGCGCCAGGAGAAGGACTCCAGGGTATGGAAACACCACCAGTGCATCGTCCCCACTAGTCACTTGATGGTCTTCGAGCTCACCCTTGCCTTCTTCAGCTCGTTAGAACTAGCGTGTTCTCATTGCATTATTATCTGGGTTTCTGCTGGGGTGGTCGGCCTCAGCCACGCTCTACCTGCCGATCCTTCCAGGGCTCCCTTAGTGGGAAACATTTAGGAAGCGTGGTTGATAGAACGTAGTGGTCAGCTTTCTTTGGAGTGTCAGAAAGCCACAGTGCTGCGTCCGAGTGTCTCATCACTGGCATTTTGTTGTGTGTGCTTTCAGAGAACATGACCGTTATTCCTGACCAGGCCTACCAGCCCCTTGGCCCTTGTCCCTGTAACTTAACAGCTGGGGCCTGTGACATCCGTTGCTGTTGTGACCAGGTACGTGCTCACCGACGCTTGGGCACGAGCGCTGTACATCTGGCTGTGGGTAAAGAGCCCCATCAGCAGTGTTTTAACGGATGGGCTTTCAAATCTGAGCTGCTATTTTATGTTGCCAGTTGCTTTCGAATTGACTGTTTTCTCTACTGTGTTGTCACTCTAGTTTATGGAAGGGAGAAAGAGTGAAGGAAAGGCTACTCTACTTCAGTCCTCACTTGGGGTCTTCTGTACTACCTTTCCTTCTCACTGTCTCTTTGTGAATACCTCTTGTGTCATACCCACTACGGCTGTGACCCCTTGAAGGGTTACTGTCCTGACACGATGCCCACGGGGCACTGGATAAGGAAATTCGGGGCGGTCCTCCTTTCCGTGGGCACACAGGCTCTTGAACAGATGGCTCACGGCTGACCGTCCCGGGAAGTTTTCCTCTCCTGGTTCACCCATGACCTCTGCTTTCCAGGAGTGCTCCCCGGATCTAACAGACCTGTTCCGAGGGTCCTGCTACACCGGTGCTTTTGGAGGCGACGTCAACCCCGTCTTTGACCAGCTCTGTTCCGCTGGGATGCCCCACCACGCCCCTGCCTGGTTCCCCTTGCTGTGTGTGCAGTCGTCCCTTGCCAACACGCCTTTCCTCGGCTACTTCTATCATGGCGCTGTGTGAGTGCCTGGCAGCCCCCGACCCGGGCTTGTCCTCCAGTGCCCTTGCGCTCACGGGGCCGGCGTTTCTCAGCGCCTCCCCAGAGGCGCCTTACTTAATGGGATTCGTTCAGTTCTAGATTTCAGTTAGTAAGCTTCTTGAAAGTTTCTTTCTTATTGGAGAGGAAGAAAGAGACAGGGACAGAGACAGAGAGGCAGCCCCAGCAGGCTCTTCACGCTGCCATCCCACCCCAGCTCCAGCCGGACGTGCTCACCGACATGACTCCATACAGAGCTGCTGGGTTGCCACTGCCCCACCGAGCCTAGCCGATTGCTGAGTTTATTTTACGTTAGTGTTTGAAAGAAGTGGGCCTCACTGAAAAGAAACTGGCTTCACGAGAGTTCATAGTGATTTCTCTCTTTCATTTTTCTTTTTGTAATTGCTAGAGGGCATGTATGCTTGCTAGAGAGAGACAGGCGGAGAGGAGAAAGCACCCTCCCGTGGGACACGGTCACGCCGCAGGCCCTTCTCCTTGTCTTTTCATCCTGTCAGGATTTGGGGTGCATGCACACACATGCCTGGCTTGTTTTCCAAGCCACTAGGGCCAGGGTTCGAGCCATGGCCAGCCATGCGGGATCTGGCTCACCTTAATCACTAGATTATGGGGCTGGCCTATTAATAGCCATTTTCTAGGGAGCTTATAGAGACTTTACCTTTCTATGTTTTACTGTGTTGTTGAAGATTTATGACCATCTGCAATTTTCCTAAAGAAAAGAGTAACAAAACTTCTAAGAATGTTTGCATTTTTGTGGATGATACTGGAGGTTATTGTGACAGTCTTTCCTACTGACTTACAGTTCTCCTAAGCAAGACTCTTCTCCCGAAGTGTATTTGCATACTGATCTGAAAGACCTTTCAGACTTTGGCTACAAGCAAGGAGATCCAATTATGACTGCAGAGAAGACGTATTTTACTATTCCTCAGGTAATCATTCCATTTTAATATATTTCCCTCTCTCTCACTGTCTCTCTCTGGTGAGCCCTATGACAAACTTCCAAAATTAAAAAAAAAAAAATTAAAAATCTGTGGTGGGGCCAGCTGGTGGCAGAGAGGTTACGGTGATTGGGTCCCACATGACCAGCTACGCGGTTTTAGTCCTGGATCCAGTAACTTGAAAAATACGCCAGGCACATGTGCGTGTGTGTCCCAAAATCCCAAGAGGAGAATGGAAGAAAAGGGATTATGCATGGCCTATTCCCCTGGGGGTGATTTCTCACTTTCCTTCTCTTTCTCTGTCTCTGGAGAGTGCACATGCCTTATAGGAAAAAACCACTTTGATGAAGGGCAGAAATGGAGTTGAATAGAAGCATATCTGTGCAAAGTACACAAACAGCAGGGAAGAGTTCTTTTTTGTTTGTTTTTATTAAATAATACTGTAATTCCTCGACCATGAACTTTCAGAACTTGATTAGCAAACTAATGACATGTTTTACTGAAGTTGGTGAACTTGCCAGCGAACTAGCTGTTGTTGGGACTAAACCAGCAGTAGAAGAGGCTCCGGGAAGAGCAGTACTTTTCTGATCCACCAGAAGGTGTGTATGCCCACTGGAGAGGGAGAGAGAATATGAGACAGCAACCCCCAAGGGGGCAGCCACGCCGCTGTCCCTCTCCATCGCTCCCTCCTGCCAAGATTTGGGGCACGCAGGCACACATGCCAGTGGATTTTTCAAACCTCTGGGACTCGAGCCATGATATCTGCCATGCGGGAAGCAGCTTCTTTAACCCACCATGCCACCAGCTGGCCCAGAAAGAGCTAGATAGGAGATGCTGATCCTTTATGGTCAAAAGAGAAGTGATGGCAGCTGGATCTGTCCCTTACCCTCAGGTGTCCCTGGCTGGGCAGTGCATGCAGAACGCCCCAGTGGCGTTCCTTCAGAACTTCGATGCTAGGTGCATGACTGATTTGGAAGTGTACCGGGAACGACGTGGGGCTGCCAGTGTGAAGATAAAGAGCGGTGTCGTAGGAGGTATGTTTCCTTCATGTGGGAAGAGAATGCAGACCGAACGTTAAGGTCACCCGTGAGCTTGAGGGAATGCTGCAAGATAACATTGCAGCTGCCAGCTGAGGAGGCGTTTTCTCTGGGGAAAGTGCAGTGCATGAGGCAGCATGTCGCACGTTGGCTCTTTGTTTGAAATTGAGGTAAAATTCCAGTAGCCTGGGTCAGCCATTTAAAGCGCACAGCTCAGTGAGGGTCACAGGGTCTCACCACCGTCATTTTGGTCTAATACCAGAACCTGCGCCCTGCCCCCACCGAGTGGGGACCTGTGCCCCGCCCCCACCAAGTGGGGACCTGCGCCCGCTAAGCATTCGCTCCTGTCCTCCGGTCCCCCACGCCCTGGCAGCCCCGTTTTCTGTCTGTGGTTTGCCTCGTTTGGACATTTTGAATCAGTGGACTCGTACAACCTGGGTCCTTGAGAGCCCGGCTTCTTCCACGTGGCATCGTGCTCCCAAGACCCGCCACACCGTAGTGAGTGGCAGTGCTGCGTTCTTAGGGCTGCATCGCATTCCATCCTGTGCCCAGAAACCCATGGAAAAGACGGGATGAAAATGTGAGTTCATTTTGGTGCCCCATATTTTTTGAAGTCCATGCCTAGTGTTTTATTTTTTGAGGATTTTGCCTTAGGGCATATGTGCTTGCTGGAGAGAGAGAGAGAGAGAGAGAGAGGCGCCATGCCACGGTCCCTTCTCTTCCATTCTTCTCCCAGGATCTTGGGCACTCATGTACATGCACCCTGCATGATTTTCAAGCCACCAGGTCTGGGACTTGAACCGCTACTGGCCACATGAATGTCTAGTGATGTAACTGCTATGCCACCTACTGGTCCCCATGCCTAGTTTCTTCATAGCGTGCATTTTTTAAAAGAATTATTTAATTTTATTTATTCATTCATTTATTTTAATTTGACCAGAGAGAGACACAGAGAGTGAGAGAGAGGGAAAGTGAGAAAGCAAGCCACCAAGTCTGAGACTCAAACTGTGGTTGACCATGTGGGGGTGTCCAGCACCTTAACCACCACGCCACCTGCTGGTCCCCAACATTCATTTTTTTCAAAATAATTAATTTATTTAACTTTAACTTTATTTATTTAAATTATTTATTTTAATTTGACCAGAGAGGAACAGAGTGTGAAAGGGGGGGAGTGAGAAAGTAAGCTGCCAGGTACAGGACTCAAGCCACGGTCGGCCACGTGGGAGTCCAGCGCCTTTAACCACCACGCCACCTGCCAGCCCCATGGCGTGCATTTTCCGTGAACTCTGAGTAACGATTCCATGGGTGTAACCACTGTGCTTACCTGTTCACCTGTTGATAGGCAGTGGGTTGTTCCCACTGTCCATGAACAGTGAGTAGTGCTGATGCGACGCAGGCTTTCGTTTCTCGAGTATGTGCCTGGGAGTGGCACTGTCATGTCACATGGAAGGGTGGCGTTTTGAGGACCCCCCTTACTGACTTTGACAGTGGTGGCACATTTGACTTCCACCAGCAGAGCCGTGCATGTCTGTTCTCATGTGAGAGGGACGCACCAGTTTCCACCAACCGTGGGGGCCCTCTGCAGTTACAGTGGGTGCTGAGCGTTGTGGGGTCCCCAGCCAACAGTGTGTGGAGAGGGGAGGGCCTCCTTGTCGGCACGTAGGGCAGGTGCAGTCACATATGCACGTGTACCTGGGTGCGTGCCGGGGTGGGGGGGGCTTCAGTGGAAGGTGAAGGGATTTCTGTTTTTAGGCATCATAACACCGAAAGTCACCTACGAGGAGGCAGCCGACCTAGACGGAGTGGTCACCGGCACAGGTATTTTAATGCTACACTTTGTGTCACTTCTGCAGAGATACGTATGTCATTCCGTACAAGTATTCCATAACCCCAGCATGAGAGCATCTTTATTAAGAACTTGGAGAGGTTCACGATGGCTAGTCACCCTGTACCGTTTCACTTGTCCTCTCTCTCGCCTTGCCTTGCTTAGGGTACCTCCCGAGTACGGAGACAGCCCCTTGGCAGGCCTGGGCCTTCTGGTCCCCAGGTGGCAGGTGCTGCGTTTTTGTTTTTGTTTTTGAGAGGGAGAAGAGACACCCCCATGTGGGATGGTCATGTCATGATCTCCCCCTCCCCGCCTTTGTATTTGGGGGCACGCATGCACACATGGCTGGGTCTGAGACGCAACCTGAGTGGCCAGCCGTGTGAAACCCGGCCACTTGAACCACCAGGTCGTGGCGCCTGCTCACACCTCTCCTTACACGTGTGTCTGATGCTGAAGAATCTCTAGGACACGCCATTTCCACAGCATTTCCCTTCATTTTCCCTTTTTGATAATTCACTTTGCTGATGTGATGCAGCCACTGAGTTATAGAAGAGTTTGACTGATATGCCCAGACCCTTCCGTTCTTAAAGTTTAGTTATTTTCTTTCATGGGGTGGGAGAAGGAGGGCCAAAGAGGAGGGGAAGAGAGTGTGCCCTTGACAGAGCCTCACCACACCACACTACACCACACCACAGCGCCGCAGCCTGCCGTCCTTCAGGGTCCTGGCTTGCCGTGTGGGCGGGACCAGCCGGCTGACAGAAGACCTGAGCCCTGGGCTTCTCCTATGGCTTCCTGGGGGCTCCACATGCAATTACTCCCTACTTCCTGTGCCATTGTCACTGGACCAGGAATTCTTTTGTTTTTTTCCCCTTTATTTGTGTGAGAGCATGTGCACACGCATGAGACAGAGAACAGAGAGAGACAGAGAAAGAGGAGCACACTGCAGGGGCTGGTCCTGCACGATCCCCTTCCTCCCGCCCCCAGCCTGTCGGGTCGTGGACACTCGCACACATGCGCAGCATGTGACAGGCAGATATGGCTGGGGGTTTGAATCCCCGTTCCCATGGGGGAGCCAGCTTTCCTTGAGCAGCGCGCCCAGAGCCAGCCGGGGACTTTGGTTTCAACGAACGGTACTGTTTGTGTTTCTTTCCAACGCCTTGTCACTTGGCTTTATCCGTGACTTGGTCAGATGTGAGCAGAGTTCCTGCGGTGTGGGAGGGAGCTAGGCGCAGACCTCTGCTCTTACGGAGCTGCCACTCTGTGTCCTTCACCTCACGACATCTGACCAAGCATGTGCTCCAGGGCAAGCCTGGGCCCATGCCGCGGATACAGTAATGAAAGGAGAAGCACAGGTCTCATCTGGGGTGCTGTGATGGTGCAGAGGCGGTGGGTCGCTCTGCCTCGTGGGACAGCGGAGGCTTCCTCAAGGAAGTAGCGGCCATGCAGGGTTAGGGAGTTGGAGGAAGGCAGGTCAGGGCTGGGCTGGGGGGGAAGGCCGCCCCGGCGGCGGGCACCCTCAATAATAAACTTGAACTCAGAGGGTCTGGACTCAGGAAAATATTCTTCTATTTGCAGAAATTCTTTTAAGGAATGGGTCAGCCCCCCGAAACGTGAATGTGGAAGAACATTACATCTTCAGATGGGATAACAGCACGATCAGTGCAGTGCATGTCAGGGTCGTCAGGGCAGAAGTCCGCGCTCACCAGAAAGGTAACCGGCGAGCGTGCACTCAGCGGTAACTCTTCCTTTTTCAGATCCTCATAATTATAACACGCTAAACTAAGGCTTTTTTCCC